CCTCGAAAGGACCGCCACACAGGCGCGTGGAGAGGTGACCCACCCACGTCTCGGGTGTGGCGCCCATGAGCTGGAGTGTGCGGGTGGCAGACTGCAGCCACCGAGACACGCGTATGCCTGTACCGTCATACAAGGCAATGTCCGACAAGCCGATGAGTGGTGCGCCACCGTTTTGGCGGCGAGGGGATCGAGGGGCGGAGGCCTGTGCCACGACTGAGTAAGTTGGCGCAGGTCCTGGAGAAAGGGGCGCAGCTGACTGTGCACCCGGGCCGCATGGGGGAGCGGCGGTGGCAACAGCGGCAGGCTGCGAGGGTGCTGCGGTAGAAGAGGTCGCAGCAACTGCGGGAGTAGGAAGAAGGTAGGAAGGAGTTGTATAGGGTGCAGGGCGCAGAAAGCGAGCCTGCATTGGAGGAAGGGTAGAGGAGGTAGGGGGTACGCCCGAAGGCGCGGCCACCTGTGAGGGTGGGGGTGGTTGAAGGCGTAAGAGGGTGAGGTCGGCCCGGAGCTGGGCAATCTCGTCCGCGAGACCTCGAACGTAGGTCGATCGAGGGGTGGCAGGAGGAAGAGTGGAGGGGGTGGACGCACAAGCGGCACCGGGCATCCCAGAGGGGGGAGAACCAGATGACGCTGCGGTCGTGCGAAGGGGAGGGAGAAGTGGGGCACCCGGAAAAGCTGAGACCATGGTAGCGGGTTGTTGTACCGTGGCCGTAGTGACCGGGATCTGGGCGGGTGCGCCCGTAGACTGGGGGGGGGCCTGGCTCGTGGCGGCCGTCGTGCTAGGGGCGTGGACAGTCACCAAGATGGTCGGGTCAGGGGCAACGGAGGAGGAAGCTCCGTCGTGGCCACCCTGTCGGAGGACGGGGGACCCGGACTGGGAGCCAGGGGATGACGGACACGTAGCGTCCTGGAGTTGTTGCATGTCGGCGGCAAGGGTCGCCACCTGCGCCTGTAAGGGCGCGAGGGTCGCGAGTTGTGCCTGGATGGGCGCAAGGGTCGCGAGTTGCGCTTGGATGGGCGCAAGGAGGGAGGTGAGGAGGGTGTGTAGATCCCCCTAGGGCTGATGGCCCTGGTCCGCCAACACGGGTGTGGAGCCCGATGCCGTGGTCATCGCCGTGTGGGCGGCGTGTGACGCACCGTCGGCCATGGGGAGATGACGGACCGGACTGGAGGGGGCCATAAGAGGTCCGCGTGAGTGGAGGGCGTAGGGGGAAGTCCGCGGTAGAAAGCGGCGAACGGCGCTAGCAAGGCTAGCACGGGCGCCGTCAAAGGGGGAGGGGTGGTTCGGGTCCAGGGTGCCCGAAGAGGACGGGAAAGTAGGGGGGTTTTGAGGAACACTAAACCCTACAAAACCCCTAAAAAAACCCTAACCGAGGTTTAA